GAACCTCGGTGTTCACATATTTAGAAAAGGCCTGGACATAAGGAGGGTTTGTGTTAGCAATGACCTTTCGCTTCAAACCATGGTCTTTGACAACACCCAGAGCGTTTAGGAAGCAAAACACGACACACACTTCAAACGCATCTCGAATCTCTTCGCACTTACATCATGCTTTGCATCATGTGTCTGACAAGTCCGCGTTGCCTGGCGTGCCCAATGCTCTCTTCTCCCAGTGCTCTTTGCGGCCTGACCTGTGCGTGGAAGTTCATCGCGTGGGACTCGCGCACCCTCCTTCGATCGGGGTCGGCGAACAGTTGAGATTGCCTGCAGGCCCGGCTGCACTGGCCTCTGGGCGGTCGTTTGAAAGTCCAGACAATCGAAGCTGGGGCTTTGGGAGCTGTTGCTGGCTTTTCCTCGGCTATCATCCTCTTTTGCATGCCTAAACTTGCTGCAGGCTCGTGAGGTTACAACTTGCCTTCTTGCAGCATTCCCACAAGCTGGGGTGTGTTGAGATCAGACCAAACGACAGCCCTGGAGAGGGCAATCTTTTCTCTTCCCAGATTCAGCCAGCGGTTGCTTATAGGGGCACCTGAATGTTGCAACTAGTCTCTTGTCAAGGGCGACTAGTCAAACCCAACCATTTTGTCGAGTAGAAACGCTAGGTCGAGCCATTGATGTAGCCTTTCGCCCTTTGACGATCCGCATATAGATCTGAAACTTTGCTGTAGTCACTGTAGTCAGTGTTTGATCCGCTCACAAGGCTCTTATGGCTTATTTCTTACTTTCGAAGGTCTACTGCTAAGATTAGTAGGCATTGAGACTAGCGCTTGATCGGAACAAGCAGCCTGAATCGACAGCCAGCAACCTTGTTCGGAATCAGGTCAGTCGGTTAGTCTTAGTGGCTTTGGAATGCTGTGGAGGTTGCTCTACGTTTGACATGCAGGCACAAGCAAAGCTGGAGATCGGCACGGGTCAAGAATGATGCCAGTCTAAGTGATAGCACCTGACTTGCGTACAGACGTGACAGAGTTCTGGATCAAACCTGACTGCCCAGTGATCATTTTCACCGTCACGCCTCCCACCATCGGCCTTTTTTTTTCTTTTGCCCCAGCTCTCGAGCTGCCCAGTGATGGAATAGAGGCAAAAGGAAAGACGTGTCCAGTCAAAAAACTCAATGGGACGCACCTCGGATTGCTGCCGCCCAGTTTGATGCTCTGCAAGATGTGCTAGTGAGTCTTGCCAGACTTGTTAGTTGTAGCTCATTGCTTCTCATCTTGGCTAGTGAAGGGTTTGCAATACGAGCAAGACCAGGAAGGACTTGTAGCTCTGGGTGTATTGAGAAGAAACAGCAGATTGACCGATTGACCCTTGAACACAAAATCTTTTCCACGCAGGTGTGCAGAACTTCCAAATGCACTAGTTCACGGATGGAACTGACATGAAGAACCAGAACCATTAGTTGGCTTGGTTGAACAACCGAGGTCGTGCCAAGTTGGAGGTTTTGGAACGAGCTCGATTTCGCGGTCAGGTTTGCCACAGGTTCAGTGGAAAAGTAACTCCATGCTAAGGGAAGCTAAGAATGGGCAGATTGCCTGCAACAATAGTTCTCCTGTTGCGCTGAGGTGCTCCAGACGGGCTTAGTCAAACCTAAAAGTTCGTGAAGTGCCAGATAAAGGGATCCTCCAAACTAACAAGATTGTAGACTGTTAGGCTATTGTTACCTGGCACCACAAAGTGCCTTTTGTTTTCGAGCCGGCTTGAAGATGTCCCATATGTTCCATACTCATTGCAGATAGTTAGAATAAAGACTCCGTCAAGGTCTATCACAAGGGGATTGATACGGGTGCTGTTGAAATCCTTTTCCGGCACAAAAGGCTCAAAATGTTTTTGTGAAAAGATCACCAAGAATGACAAGTTAGGATTGTTACTTGGTTTGGATCCGTTAGATATACTGTTATACGAACAGTGAGGTAGCTGGTTTTCCTTTGCTGATCTCGAGTCCGAGGATGGTTGTACAACAGCAGGGCGCTGGCATTTCTTCCTTCTGCTTCTGCACTCTTAGGAGATCCAATAGGCACTCAAAAACTCTGCACAACATCCACCAAACAGGGCCAAAGCTAAGGCTTCCATCGGCACGGCCCTAGCCCGTGTGGATGATAGGAGCTGAGGTGGATCTGCCACTGAAAAGCAGTACGCATGAAAAGTAGAGGAAAGGAGGGTATTGATCCAAAGCTGGCTGCCATATATATCTGCGGTGTGAGATTGGCCATAAAGGATGTTTCTGTGGCCCATGATATGCTTGAGCTCAAGATGACATGACCTGGCACTCAATGTGGTCAGGTGGTTCTGCCTGTTCCAGCAGCCGCTTGGACGGTTGCACTTTGAACAGAACAGAGCAGCCGCTATTGGTTGGAACTGTCCAAATCACTTCTGAAGGTCACAGTCATGTGTTGCAAACGGAACCAGACTGGAGATTTGCACTTACACCAACCACTGAGATGGTGAAGCACATGTCAAATCAAATTTGTCGCAAAGGATCGATTAGGGTCCAAACTGATTGATTACAATCTGCAAGATGCTTTAGAGAACATTTGTCGCAGATATTAAACATCGACGCAACAAGCTTGGGCCCTTATGTACGTATGTGTCGATCAACAAGCTGCACAAGTGATTGACACACTCTAAACTTACCAGGACCAACTGGGGCAAGCCATCCCAAACCGGGAAATGGAACACCTCTATGTCAAGCGACAATGAATGATTTTTTGATCAGTTGCATGCTTCATGCACCCATTTCTACCATAGGAGCCAAGGGGCATGCCAAGCAGAGATTAGGATCGTAAGTGGAACGAGTCATTCACCAGACCGTCTTAGAGATCTGCCACTGAAAAGCAGTACGCATGAAAAGTAGAGGAAAGGAGGGTATTGATCCAAAGCTGGCTGCCATATATATCTGCGGTGTGAGATTGGCCATAAAGGATGTTTCTGTGGCCCATGATATGCTTGAGCTCAAGATGACATGACCTGGCACTCAATGTGGTCAGGTGGTTCTGCCTGTTCCAGCAGCCGCTTGAACGGTTGCACTTTGAACAGAACAGAGCAGCCGCTATTGGTTGGAACTGTCCAAATCACTTCTGAAGGTCACAGTCATGTGTTGCAAACGGAACCAGACTGGAGATTTGCACTTACACCAACCACTGAGATGGTGAAGCACATGTCAAATCAAATTTGTCGCAAAGGATCGATTAGGGTCCAAACTGATTGATTACAATCTGCAAGATGCTTTAGAGAACATTTGTCGCAGATATTAAACATCGACGCAACAAGCTTGGGCCCTTATGTACGTATGTACGTATGTGTGCGGCTTGTGTTGCCTACCATGTGAAGGCGGCGAGTCAACAGTTGCTCCACTGAAGCCACCCTATGCCTTTGGCATTTTCTCTCCCAGAGAACATCCCAAAAGAAGGGCATCCCAAACCACTCCCAGCCTGGCCAGGAAAAGCAATACCCTATATAAATGATGGGGAATGAGTCAGAATGAGGTACAAGTAGCAATAATACTAGCTCTAACAAAAGTCAATAGCTTGGAAATACTCCCGGAGAGTTCAACGTGCCAATGATCAACAGAGTCAATATAGAGTACGCAAGTATCCGAGCTGTTCTGAGGTGAATGCAACATGTCTTTGTCTGCACCTTTCGAGCCAGGGAATTTTAACTGCTGAGTGAACTCCCCAGGTTTTGCGGTCCTCAAGAGGGCTTGCTGAAGCCCAAGTCAGAGGTTTGTCAACTAAGTCAGGCATCAGGCGAGCTACAGTATGTTAGCAGAGGCACATTCGAGAAGCTGCAACAAAATGACACACTATGACACAAACAGACCTGAATTGCTATGACGTAAGTTGGCACTTTTGAACACTTGTCTTGCCTGCTGCAAACGAGCGTAGCCTTGGCCTCGGTTCCTTGCAAAAGGAGCAGCTTGTTTTTGCAATATAAAAGCCAACGCAGGCAATGAATCGTAGATGTAAGGCTTTCTGTTTTGATATTGGAATGCATACTCAGGTGGCAGCAAGTTTTGTCACGTGCGATTGCCAAGTCAATAGTTTGGGCATATTTCCTAGTTGGTTGGAGGTATCTATGACAGCCCTGCACAACGGCTCTGAAAATTCAGAGAGCTTGTGGACTATCATATGGCAAAGTCCTGTGTTTGTTTGTGCCTTCCTGGCCAGGGAACCTGAAGTACCCAAACGAAAGCAGCCTTAGCCGCTTCAGCCTTGGCCTTGGTGCCTCGTGGAAAGAGCGCCTTGCTTTTGCAATGTGAAAGGCAAGCTGAGGCACCACATCGCAGGTGCAATAGTTTGGACATACTCGCTAGTGGTTGGAAGTATCTTTGACTGCGCTGCGCAATATTTTTGAACGATCCCGGAGCTTGCAGACCATCATATGTCATATGCAACATGTCTTTGTTTGGGCCCTTCGTGTCAGGGGGTCTCAAAGGCCTAAATGAAAGCAGCCTTAGCATGGGCCTCTGTTCCTTGTACAGAGAGCTTGCTTTTGCGAGGCAGAAGGCCAGCTGAGGTGATCCATCATAGATGCAGGATTTTCGACAAGGCTGGAATGCAAACTCAGGTGGCTGCAAGCTGCGTCATGTCCGATTGCCAAGCCAATAGGTTGGACATATTTCCTAGTATGTTGGAAGAAGGGTGGTGGCCGATCCAATCGGAGTTTACCGAACGATCTCAAAAAATATCGACTGTAAACATGGTCTTTGGCAACCTCTACCGAAGACGGTCCGCCGGCACCTCTGAAGATGTGGACCTGGTATAACGCCAAATGATTGGGGCAATGAATGGTGGGAGAGATTCTTCTTTGCAGAAAGAATCTTGATATGTCCTGATCCTCTTTGGTACGTGCCTTGATCCATATCGGCTACCATACCGCGTAGAAGACAGAAAGCCTTTGCCTTCTAGTCTAAGGCATCTCAGCGCTTCAATTTCTTCAACATTTTGTTAGAAGCTACGCATATCAAGAATACAGTTGCGAATTGGGTCATGTATACTGGGTACTAGTGAGATGGGATCTTGTGGACATCCGAAATTTCTGCATGAGTAAGATGAGATAGGATTGTCCTAGCAAAAAGGAGGTAACAGCCTTCCGGGCTGTTCCAAGGTGTATGCAGCATGTATTTGTCTACTCCTTTCGAGCCAGGGAATTTTAACTGCTGAGTGAACTCCCCAGGTTTTGCGGTCCTCAAGAAGGCTTGATGAAGCCCAAGTCAGAGGTTTGTCAGTTTGTCAAGTAAGTCAGGCATCAGGCCAGCTACAGTATGTTAGCAGAGGCACATTCGAGAAGCTGCAACAAAATGACACACTATGACACAAACAGACCTGAATTGCTATGACGTAAGTTGGCACTTTTGAACACTTGTCTTGCCTGCTGCAAATCAGCCTAGCCTTGGCCTCGGTTCCTTGCAAAAGGAGCAGCTTGTTTTTGCAATATGAAAGCCAACGCAGGCAATGAATCGTAGATGTAAGGCTTTCTGTTTTGATATTGGAATGCATACTCAGGTGGCAGCAAGTTTTGTCACGTGCGATTGCCAAGTCAATAGTTTGGGCATATTTCCTAGTTGGTTGGAGGTATCTATGACAGCACTGCACAACGGCTCTGAAAATTCAGAGAGCTTGTGGACAATATGGCAAAGTCCTGTGTTTGTTTGTGCCTTCCTGGCCAGGGAACCCGAAGTACCCAAACGAAAGCAGCCATAGCCGCTTCAGCCTTGGCCTTGGTGCCTTGTGGAAAGAGTGCTTTGCTTTTGCAATGTGGCAGGCAAGCTCAGGCACCACATCGCGGATGCCAGATTCTTCATTTGGGTGGTAGAATGCCTACCCCGGTGACAGCAACTTGCGCAATGTGCGATTGCCAGGTCAATCGTGTGGACACATTTGCTTGTGGTTCAAAGTATTTTTGAGAGCCAGGTTCTGAAAGCTCCAGGAGCTTGCAGACCACCATATGTGATATGCAACATGTCTGAATCTGTGCCTTTGTTCCTTGAATAAAGAGATTGCTTTTGCGATGCAGAAGGCCAGCTGAGGTGATCCATCATAGATGCAGGATTTTCCACAAAGCTGGAACACATATTCAGGTGGCAGCAAGTTTCGCCATGTGCGATTGCCAGGTCAATCGTGTGGACACATTTGCTTGTGGTTCAAAGTATTTTTGACAGCCAGGTTCTGATAGCTCCAGGAGCTTGCAGACCACCATATGTGATATGCAACATGTCTTTGTGTGTGCCTTTTGGGCCCGAATCTGTGCCTTTGTTCCTTGAATAAAGAGATTGCTTTTGCGATGCAGAAGGCCAGCTGAGGTGATCCATCATAGATGCAGGAATTTCCACAATGCTGGAACACATACGCAGGTGGCAGCAAGTTTCGCTATGTGCGATTGCGGTTGTTTTGAATTTGGAAGTACCTTTGATGGCACCGCACAAAAGTTCTGAAACATCTTAAGCCTTCTGGGCTGTCGTAAGGTGTATGCAACATGTGTTTGTCCACACCTTTCGACAAGGCTGGAATGCAAACTCAGGTGGCTGCAAGCTGCGTCATGTCCGATTGCCAAGCCAATAGGTTGGACATATTTCCTAGTATGTTGGAAGAAGGGTGGTGGCCGATCCAATCGGAGTTTACCGAACGATCTCAAAAAATATCGACTGTAAACATGGTCTTTGGCAACCTCTACCGAAGACGGTCCGCCGGCACCTCTGAAGATGTCAGGGAAAGTGTCAGGGCATGGACCTGGTCAGGCAAGCTGAGCTCGTGTCACCGGGCTTGCCTTCGAGATGGTTGAATGGCCGAGGAGGCTGCACGATGCAAACAGTTGTTGATGTAGATTCCTACATCTCTTGTACTAACTCCACCTCGAATAATTCAACTGACCGGGGTGTCCAGTGTCCAGGTGTTTTCACGAAGGGAGCTTTTGATTGCAGGAAATGAGTCACCATGCAAGATTGAAGCCTGGGTCCCCAGCTTTTTGCAATAGGCCGCAAAGGACACGTCTTGCGAATGATAACACTGCATGCTTTCTCATCTAATCTGGCAGCAAAACCTCACATCCAGCACGCCAATTGCCCACCAAGCCGCCGGCGAATCAAGCTTTTAACTCCCGCCCCCTGTTTTTGGTTACCATGCCGCGTAGGAGACAAAAACCCTTGCCTGCCTTCTAGTCTAAGGCATCTCAGCGCTTCAATTTCTTCAACATTT